TCTGTTGAAACTTATTCTAGATATATGATAAGTGAATGGTGAAGCAATTAATCATGTAGGTGGCACTGGCATATTTATCAAAATTATTTTAAAAGAATATCTTTATGTATGAATATTTTGCTCGTTTTCGAACGAGCGGAGCTCTAAATCACTTTTGCATTTACCTTCTTCCGAAGCAGGTTACAATTTGTGATGGTGGAATGTCACTTACGGATTGAACACATCCGGAAAAGCCTCTTACTGATTTATAAGACACCAGTTCTTGATACTCTGGCAGATAGGCAGAAATCCGGTCTGGGTTGGGAATCCCTCCAACATAGAGTTCGTCCATTATTGTTAACTGAACGAAGCTGCCTTGTGTAAAGATTTCCGGACCCGAGGATGTGTGTTGGCCACTCAGATAAATGTCAAAACTTCGACCTCTTCTTTTTACACGGAGAGTGTGCCAGGAGTTGAGTGTGAGGTTTTGAGCACTTCTTGAAGTCAAAAGTGAAGATGTACAAATTTTAGATACTCACTAGGAGCACCTGCTGAGGTGTTTGCTTATAGTTCTGTTTTTTGGACGGAATGGAGGGGGTAATCCAAAGTGGGGTTCTAAACACCTCTGAATAATTTTGAAATAAAAGGTGAAGGGAATAATAATGTGCTTGGACGACTGGCTCATATTTTTGGTAAATATGACAAATCGCCTACTTTTTAAATGATGGGCCATGGCCAAGATCCAGACTGACAATAATTTTACCATTTACGAGAGCAACACAAATGAAATCTCCGCGTTTGTCAAAGGAGAATCCTGAATAAATAATGAGCCCTGTTGTCTTCTTGGGGAGGAAAGTCATTTCAAGCAATGTCTCTGTCCATGAGGTGGCGCGAAATCCCCTCACGGAAAGGTAGGAATTACCAAGAAATTCAGGAATGACTGGAATCCGGTCTAAAAATACAGGTCATCAAATCAACCCACAAAATTGAATTGAGTGTTTTAAAAATTTTGGATGTGTTTGAATTGTTTATCAACAATAAATAAGTTAAGCTACTCAAGTCCACTTAATCCTGAGTAGCTTGATCGCTTTGATGTATTACTTCTATCTTATTGGTGTTCTCCGAAACATCATTTAAAACGTTTTTAAGATTTCAGATAAGAATCGCCAATTCCAACTTGAAAATCACTTTTAAAGAGTCATTTAACGTATAGTT